CCTTCTAAATAGCAGTGCCGAAACAGGAAACTAATTAGAACAGCCAATTGGCTAACATACAAATACGTTTTACGAATAACTTTTCTTGTAGTTCACGTACATTATTATATTTAGTACACTTTTTAGGTACGTGTTGCACATAAAGCTACGTTATTTCCTTGATATTTCCTTGTTTTGTGTGAAAAATTAGAAATTCTTCAATTGATGGTTTTTATTATATCCCAATATTTACCACAAGAGATAGTAATGTTTTTTATTTTGGACTTTACTTAAGAAGGGTATACTCAAGACTTCCACTTTATTGTGCAAATTATTTACACATGGAAATGAATGTATATATGGATTGAAAAAAGAGAAAGGAATATGCATTTCTCTAGTAATTTGTTTTTATCTAAATAATAATAACAACCCAAAAAAAAGAATAAATAAAGAAACAAATAGAGGCAGAAGATCTAAGTATAAACAACAATACGAAGAGGGATAATTAAAGGAATATATAGTTCTCGTTAATGGAAAAGCAAATTAAGGTAATGCTTTTAACAATTTAGAATTTGACACACACACACATATATATATATAAGGAATATGCTTTTAACAATTTAGAATTTGACACACACACACACAACTATGTGTGTGTGTGTGTCAAATTCTAAATTGTTAAAAGCATTACCTTAATTTGCTTTTCCATTATATATATATGTGTGTGTGTGTCAAAAACGCTTATTACAACTTATGCTTTAATATTTTAGTTTCCTATCCATTTTTACATACTCTAAACGTGAATATACTATTTTTATTCTTCACATTTGATTTATTATCCATCGTCATTGACACATCTTCACTTTAATTTGCTATAATTAATATGATGTTAAACTCCAAAAGTTGCCAAGAAATTACAAGCTATAAAATAGTATATTCACGAGGAATAGACTAACGGGGGAGGAACAACGTAGTACTGACTTTGACCTCTTCCTCGTTATAGAATTTGACTAATATTCTATGACGATATAAACTAGTATAAAGAATTTTTATTCATTTTTATTCTATCTGTAGGCATATGAATTTTATTAAAATTAAATTCATAAAATAATTTGGATTATATTTTAAATTCAAGATATATGGGTCCAAATAAATATATGGGCTAGATCGGAAGAGCACNAATTGAATTAATTATATAAGTCCAATATATATGGATTAAATAAATAAGTCATAATCCATTGGGCTAGCCCATTTAATTGGGCTAAAGTGATGAGCCCAATTCAGGCCCAAGATGTCTCTTCCTAGAGGGCCAGTTTGGTGTCACGTGTCAAATGACGTGGCGCACCAAGTCAAGCGGAAGAGCCAATAGGATCATGCCACATGTCAAAATGACAAGGCATGCCAAGTCACACTAAAAGGCCAATGAAATCGCGCCACGTGTGCAAGTGACATGTTCTGGCCAATCAAATGCGGCCATGTCACACTTCAATTTGATTGGTCGGAAAGAGTTTGTTCTTATCATGACTCTTCCCTTCCACAACTATAAATAGGGGTCTTCATAACTCAGAAAAGGGACCAGAAGTTATAACAAGAAGCAAGAGAGAGCTCGTGGATCAAACACCGCAAATTTCTCTACAAGTTTCAAGCTTCAAGCAATCAAGTTCAAGTTCAAGAAATCAAGTCCAAGCTCAACAACGAAGAACAAATCAAGGTCAAGTTCAAGCGATCAAGCTAAAGCTCAAAGAACAAGATCATCGTTCGTGGAAACAAATACATATTCAAGATCAAGCTCAAAGGCCCTTGAATTTATTCACTATTGGAAGGAAGAATCAGAGGATTCATAGAGATTGTAACACTCAAATATTCGAAATAAAATACTACGATTGTTGCGATATTTTTCGGTCTTAATTTTATTTTCTCGACTCAAATTTATTGTCTATACTATCGGATCATTATTTTTACGTGTTATAGTAAGTAACTCGTCTTATTTATAAAATTTACAAATTTTACAATTTTTATACTTTAATGTAATTAAATTTTTATACTATCAAATCACTACTCAAGCATGAGCTCGGGTGGTTTCACCCAACCAATCCTGAAGATACCTTGTTTAACCTGAATTTTTCCTTTTCTTTTTCTTCTTCTTCTTTTTTTTTTTTTTTGTGTTGTTTTAAATATCAAATCCGTCTTAAAAAAAACTTAGTACTTTTATTTGGAAAAGTAATATTGTTTAGCCGCTGTAAAAATAATAGCTAAAAAATGTATAAAATTTGTATATTTTTTGTATATATATACATTCTGTATGTTATATACAAAAATTATACAAATTTTATATACTTTTTCGGCTACCAGATGTAAATAGTTTCGGGCAGGCTAAAAGTGATAATACCCTTTTTATTTTCCACGTCAATGGCATACAATTCAAACAAGTTACATGTATGTAAAAGAAGTCAATAAACAACATTGATCGTTATGTTTTTTACTCAATCTTTTATCATTTGTTTGGTGCCCAAGAATCCGTGTATTTTTTTGGTATGTCAAAAAATTGATGTTAAAAATCTCAAATCAACGTTCTTAGTTCTTACATTGGCAAAGTCAACATCTCAAAAAACACATTTTTCAAAGTCAAACTTAAATAAATAAACATTTAAAGAATTTCTTAGTCTTTGAACACCCTAATTAAAGTATATTCATATGCCTATAAATGCATCCACCTACCTTGTATTTTCATTCTCATAATCTCAACAACCTCAATAAACTTTCTCCAACCTACAAAACTCTCTTCCTCACCAAAAACAAAGTTCAAAAAGGGGTTGTCATATTAATATTACATAAAATATCATGATTCTTCTTAGAGGATTTATTACATTATTATTCATTTTCTCCATTTTTTTCGCTTCAAATACTTTATTATTAGTAAAAGCAGGAAGGCCCTTAGATATGGAGAAATGGTTGAAACAAGAAGCCACACTTCTAACATCTTTGCCTAGGGGTCAAGTTCCACCATCTGGTCCTTCTCCTTGCACCAACATCCCCGGCCAAGGCGGCAGTGGCTCATGCCCCTGAACCGATAAACCTTGGCCGTCCATGTCTGCTGTTGTCAGAGAATGCACTTGTCTCTCATCAGTTGTGTAAGAGTTCTCAAAATGGTTAATGATGTCCTGAGACACGACACAATTATTTAAGACTTTAAGTTGGGCGCTCAGGTTCTTTCACGTGATGTTATTATTACTGATTTTTCAGCTTTTTATCATCCTGGCGTCGGGCTATTTTTCTACGGGGTTGCTCTGCAGTATCATCACCGTAGTAGAGTTTACGTAGGCTGCAAGCATGCATGGGATGGATCTTACAGGAGCTTCCGTGATGCCTAAGGAAGCTAAATATAGAAAAGTTTCCATTAAATATATAGTTTAAGTTAATTCTTTGCTATTGTAATGTCTTGGCCATTCTTTAATTCTTTGATTTGTTTCATTTTCTTTTGTTTCTGTAAAGCATTTATTTTTTCTCTGTTTGTAAGTCCAAGTAAATAATGTAAATAGAGATATAGAAAATTTTATTTTAAGGCTGTGAATTAGGCATGAAAAAAATGTGAAAATTATGTATAAAATGTACTAATTAAAAAGTTAGTTAAGTTCAAATATAAAATGAAAGTATTTTATTTTTCTGAAAAATGTACGTGATTATCCAAAATATAAAAATTTAAAGGGAGAAGGAGATATACGCAATCGTGATCAGTTAGTGGCATTAAAATCGCATGACTTTCTATATAGTTTTTCGTCACGCATGAAAAGAAAATTACAAAAAAAATTGCGTATTTCATTAGAAGAAGCTTTGAACATTGGATAGGACTTAGGAGGAAACACTCAAATGTGGTTTCACACGCAACATGATAAAATTGAGTGTACTATCTCTAATAATTTAACCTTTTAAATGAGATAACCACACGCTACAACATGATATTAGAGCAGATAGAGATCTTAAATTTGAGTTTTAGTGTCGCTCACTATCATCCACTTATTTGGCCATTGGAAAAGAATACGGCACGCACGTGATAGGCATGTTGAAAACATAATTAAGAAAATTTGGTTTCGTCTCGTTTTCACTCATTATAAAAAATAAAATAAAAATTCAACATGAGTGGCTCATGAAAAAAATCATACACACGTGTGAAGAGACGTTTGAATCAGCCATTGAATCAAAAAGATAACGAGCAAAATAAATCGGGTTCAAAAGTTTTACACACACACAAAGCTTCGTGCATACATCTTTTTTTTTCACAAAAATGCAACAAAAATCTCTTATGCTTATCAAGTGACCATAATTTCAAAGGTTTGGCCTAACTCTACCTAATAACAATTCTTTATGCATAAAATTGAATGTCTTGTTTCATGCTTTTAGAAATAAATGTTATAGTAACTATTATTACCATACTTTAAAATTACATTTTAGGTACTTTTCAGGTGTGAAAACCTGAGATTCTACTGTAATATTCAGGTACTTTTTCTTAATTTATAAAATTTGTAAGATAAATAATTCTGTCTTGTGAAAACGTAGGCCTTTTTCTTCTTTCTTTTTGGTATTCAAAGGAGCATTGAGTGACATCAAAAATCATTAAGCAGACCTACCTTGCATTCATGTTGTATCTTTGTAAGTGTTGAAGTTGACCACAATACCAATTTCCCTCCTAATTTATGGCTTCTTGGCCGAGAGTCCATCGGAGACGTCACTCTCTACCTGACACAAGGCAGGGGTAAGGTCTGCGCACACTCTACCTTCGCTAAAACCCCACCTGTGGGATCACACTGCGTATATTGTCGTTACTGCTGTTGCTTTTTCTACGACAGAGTTCAAACCCACAACGTGGGTCTAATTTACACATTACACTGTCCCAACTTTACACCACTGAACCAAAGCTCTTGAGACTATGCTAGGTGATGGAGTACTTTTTTATGGTAACATATTGGTTATCTGCTAATGCTATCTCAAAACAGCAAAGATAACAACATACATCAGACTTGAGGAATAAGAAAAAGGCCAAACTTCTAAAATATTAAATACTCAATCTGGCGTGATAGCAAAAGCCACGCTTTTCCAATGCTAAAATTTGAAACAAAGAAGCAGAATCACCCTTTACAAAATGTTTCCTTTAAAGACCAAAATGCTCTTCTCAAATACGTTATTACAGAGGAAGACAGCCTAAATATTCAAGGCTAGGCTCCGCCATAGAAGCTTTCAAAGGCCATTCGAAGGCCTAAATAATCCGTACCCATTTACACCACATGCCATGTTTGAATAGTCGGGTAGAGGATACGGGTGACTACCATCAATATTCCCATTCCTCATCCCAAGAAATGACGGATCAGAACCCATCATTTGCCACTGGTTAGGAACTAACCCATCAATATGATGTCCATTCATAAATCGTGGATCGGGCTGCAGAATCATATCACTAGCACTATCAAAAAGGCCTCCAGAATAGTTATGCTGCAACGTGTCATGATAACTTCGTGTTCGTTCAAACCTACAAGAGCTTGATGAGGTACCTAGGTCAGCTGGCGTGCCAATATCACCTGGGAATGTGAACCCATGATTTAGATGCTGCGATCCGCTGCTAAAACTTTGAAAGCCCAAGTCGGGTATAGAAGCCCTTCCAATCCCATGATCATCATTCAGTAAGTCGTTAATAATATCAAGATGAGGAAATTCATCAGCCGATACACTCTGGGACTGACGTCCAGACGTGCAAGCCAGAGAATCAGGAACGTGATCATGTGTTCTACTGTTTACAGTCTTGAACATATCAAAGTTCCTAATTCCATTTGATGCAGAAGGATGATGTTGAGATATACTCCTGTTACTGTCCCTTTGGGGACACTCCCATTGCAGTCCATTCTGCAAGCTGCCATTATTCACCATTCCATATGAAAAGCTTGGTCTCATCGAGCTAGGTTCTGCTCTTTCCAAACCATGCGGTAAAAATGATGCCCCAGAAACCAGTGGAGGTTGTTGTTGAGAGTACGAATGTGATAGGTTAACTGCTGAAATTGGAGAATGAGGTTGACTAAAACTAGCCGGACTTCCAGAAACAGGACCACCCATAATTGCATTTCGGTAGGACTGAGTAAGATAGCTGTGTGTTGCTGGTGAAGGATCGGGACCTAATCGGCCAGCTGCACTCACTGAACGAGCCAGTGATGGTGTTGTCTGAACCATGGAAACAACAGGGGCAGCAGGCCTAGGTCCAGGAACTAAAGGATCACACAATGGTCTGGACACGGCAGGCACTTGTTGCCATTTGAAATTTTCTGTTGTAGAAGAGACTGTTACTTGTTGAGACGAGGACTCCCCAGTCGTAATACAAATGGGCTGCACTGAGGGCTTATCCTTGACCCTTGGCTCTACAGCTTTATGCGGATCAGCTTTCAATACTGCAGTTTCAGATGAATTAGACACTAAAGCTGATTTATCAGCTAGCTTGGGACCATCTGAATACGATCTTTTAACCAAAGCAGGATCACTTGTGACAGAGATCTTCGTCTGTGACTTCTGCTGAACAGCAGAGCCTGCATCTTTTGGAGGGCTTCTCGGAGAAGACTTGACACTCGGCTTCTCCATTGAAGGTCTCTCTGTCTCGGCCTTTCTCTGCTGCAAAGCTACTACTTCCTGCTCGGAGTAAGAAAGTAGCATGAAATTGGTATTAACTGGAGACAAACAGAATCACGGTGACTAAGAAAAGACATTTCCCAATAAACTCATTGGAAAGGCATATGCATCTTAACAAATAGAGGCAATTTACCGGCATTTCGAGAATATTAATTGCTTACATGAACAGTAAGAACACGAAACTCAGTCTCCATGAGATTTTTCTTTCCCTGCATTTCTTTTTTTGTTTGCCATGTAACAAACTTGAGGTTCTATGATGGCAATGCGGTGAAGTAATGAGGGATAAGAAAGAGAGAGAAAAGAACAAAAAATAAATTTTTTTCATCAACATTAGGTGGTATCTCTTAGGTAAAAGTATTTTATGACGAGTCCAGTCGGTTCTTTAGAAGGAAAAGAGTGAGTGCAGGGAAGATAATAACCTTCTTCATCTTTTGCTGATCATTCGACGAAAGCACAGTAGAATGCGACTCAGATCCAGGTGCCCCGCAACTTCTATCACTTAGCTGTCCTACGTCTGAAACAGCATCTAATGGCTGACTTAGTGTTTCACTAGCCCAATCAGCCGCATTAGACGTTGACTTGTTTCTTTGGTTCTTCCCTCTGAATGGTTGAAGCACCACAATTTTAGAATACAACCAACATTTCAAATATATTTAGACTATGCTCCACCCCCCCCCCCCAAAAAAAAAAAACATAAAGAAGGTTACCTGCTAGGTGATTTCGGATTTTTATGGTTAGCCGAAGTCCATCTGCAAGGCCCATTCGAAACCACGGAAGGAATCGAATCTGTGGAACACGTCGATGAGCTATCATCCATGACGGAAGGACTTCTCCTTCCAGCTAACCCATTTTGCACAGCTGAAAGGTCACTTAACCCACTGCAGCTAGTTTCTGTGGAAGGATGAACTTCTGAGCTGTCAGTATCCCAATTGACAGGACTTGCATCTCTGTCTTCAGAGTCAGGATTAATAACCTCTGGGACACAATCGATTGAATCAGAAACATCAGATACAGCTTCCAGTATATCTGGTTTTCCAAGTACTGCTTCTCGCTCCTCATTTATGTACTCGTTTCCTTCACCAATAGGCCCATCCTGATCAATCTTATATAGCTCCATGGATCCAGGTTTTTCATCAACACCCTTATCCTTTACTTTGTGATTATTCCGCTTCTGCTTAGCCTGACATACAAAGCAAGCACGATAAATGTATCTGTCCTCAAAGCAAAGGCCCTAATTCATAGATAATACCAAAGCTTGTTTCTTATCCTGCATACATATAAAATGCAATACCTGCTTTTTCTTGGACTTTTTTTCCTTTCCAGATGCTCGTTTAGCTTTCTGCTCAGTTTCTGCCAGCCAAGCAGCTTCCTCTTCACGGATGAGCTCTTCTTGCCTCTTTAAAGCAACAGCCTCCTGATACGCAACCTCTATTTTACTATAGAAGATAAATGAAAAAGTCACTGTTAATTAAAATTGCAAGAATAACAAACTGCCGCTATTTAAGAAAGTACGAGACCTCACATTGAGGAAAATGCAGTTACTGATGCCACTCTTAACTATTTATGTTAGTTTAACGAACATTCCAGCATAGCAGAAGAATCAATTAACATTAAATCAAGGTCATTAAAGATATATGCATAATAGCTGCCCGTATGAGTGTTTGAGTGACGTGTCATACAACATGAGCTTCCCCTTTACCTGATTCTATATAGAAACGAAGCACCAACTGCTGGTTTCCTTTATTTTCTACCAATCAAGTGACATCAGCATGCATAGAAACATGAGGTAAAACCTTTAGGTTGTACTTAGGTGATCCAGCTGACAGAAGTAAGAAATGGATTCAAGAGAAGTCTACTCTTGGACCTCCTGTGGTTAAGTAAAAGATAACTGTATGAGGGCTACTAAGGTCTGGATTCGTTTGGAGCAAATTTGATTCTGAAATTGTACTTCCAAAAGGAAAAGATATTTTGTTTTGCTGGAAGCGCACCTTATCCAACCGTGAGGCCAAACCAAATTAACTTCAATCCAACAAATAGGTGGACTGGACGACATATGTATTAACTTTTGCCACAAAATAAGAGAAGTATATTTAACCAACTAGTGTACACTACTTAAGTTGTGCATGAGATGATATTACAGAATGTCACAAAATATACTAAACTTGGAATTAATGTATAATTGCTAAACTAGAATCAAGAAAACTCCTCAATACATCTCAAGTTTAGACAAATAGGAATCAAGAGAAAATTACAACCTAGACTTGAAGTATTCCAAGCTAGATCATGAAGATGGGTCAGAGCTCCAAACATGAAATGGCCTCCATGCAAAAACACGAACCAAAAAGCAACAGAATCTATACGTTCTAACCGTTTAAATAGCAAGGCCAAAGAGAAACTTCTATACCTAACCAGCAGTTTATATATATCACAATTAAGTGACTAAAATGCGCAAATAATTTATCAAAAGAGTTTTTACCTGAAAATCTGTGCTAGGACAAATATTTCAATGGTTCGACGACCTAATTCAGTTAAACGCCTCTCATCACGCTCAATTGTATCTTTGTTAAACTCATCTCCAGAAGTGCCATCCTGAAACAAAAAACAATGGTACAATAAGCAAATGCCTATGGGGTATGGATACATGTTATCTGCTAAAAAGATAGATAAAGTGCAAGCATGCAGAACATGAGCCACAAAGTTCACACATAGCTTGCAAAATGTGTGTTGTTTTTTTTTGGGGGGGGAGGGGGAGGGGGGGTGTTTAGAAAAAAAAGGAAAAAGGAAAAAAAAAAAAAAGAGGATTCTAAAATTCTCCTTTTCGATGCCATAAAATCCTTCACTGGCCCAATGCCATAAAATTCTCTCAAATATAAATTCCTAAACAGAAAAGCACTCCAGTTGACAGTTACCACTGGCAGAAGGTGTATTGTTATTCTTGCTGAAATGCAGAAGTTTATCGAGGAAACGAGCTTAACATGTGTCGAAACAGATCAAGGACTGCTTGTCAACGATCACACAATGATACTGTTACTTATTGGAATTTGATAGACTCCTAAATAACAGGGCCAAACTGGACAGAAAATAAATACATAAATAAGCAACAAACAAATCCAAGAACACACAATAAATAAGAGAATCTTAATCTACTATCACGCGTGATTAATACGAGCAGTCTGATAGCATTGAACATTGCCAAAAAGAGACATCTTAAATTAAATGTTGACCTCCAGTCAATTGTTGGGTAACATTCTTATCAATTTGTGAATATCAATATCTTTGAGCTCTAATTGGGCGCGCGTGGGGGGGGGGGGGGGGGCTGTTTTTGCAGTAGCCCTGCACAACTCAAGCTATAACCATGAGAATATATCTGGCATATAGCTTCAACAACGGCATTATGTCACTCACCTTTGTTCGGTTTTGAGGGCCTTTCTCATCCTTTGGAGGCAATGGCTCCAATGCAGCACTCTCAAGCAATAGCAAGACATCATCCACCAACACAAACATGTTTTTCTCCATACGAACAATAGGAGCCAGTTGTTCATCTGCATCCGAATATTTTGCTTTACCTTTCTTGCCCATTATCTGGCCTTCAAGAGACTTAAGCCCGCTGTACAAGGAGTCCATAACAAGAGTAGAAGTAACCTCCTTCTCTATGAAAAAGTTCTTGACAACCACTTTTAAAATTGAATCTGATCTCTCCTTGGACATGCGGCGCCTAGAATTTTGGTCCATTCCCAGCCAAAAAGCACAGAAGCTGAAATTTCATCACAAGTAGTCCGTTAGGTGAAAATTCTGAGAAATTTGACAAATGAAAGACTGACATCAAAATCTTAAGCATTTCTCCTAAGGAGATGAGGAACACAGTTTATTCAACATAAAACCATTAACCAGGAGTCATAAGCCACAAACAACCCAACAACCCAACTAGACTAGACACAAAAGAGAGCACAAACCAAAGTAGACGATAGTGCCCAATGAAAACTGAAAGCCTCTAAAACATGGCCAAAAGCAAGAATATCAACATCCCTACCTTGACCATCGAGCTCTATCCTCTATCAACTTCCCAAGCTTTACTCGTCTCTCTTCCACGAAACGGCGGCAGATTTGTTCCACATTAGTCAAATATACCCTAACAAGCTCCCTTCGATATTGACGGTCAAGGCAACGAAAGGGACGATCTGGTTTTTCCCTACAGACAATAAACATAGATCATAGCAGTTTAGCATTGCAAGGATCATAGCAGTACAAACCAACAATCACTGTTTGAGACCCATTCAAGCATGAAGGGGGCTACTGCTTAAGAGAAACTTACTGGAAAATACTATAAAGGACAGTACTTTCTATTCTCAGAAAGAATAATTCAAAAAAGAACTGCTACACATCCTCAAGCTAAACTAAAAGTTCGATTGAAGATTTATGTAAAGTAAATGGAGCCTTCCAATTGTGACATCTTGTTGCCTTGGTCTATTATGGTCTAAGTTGCTAACTGGTTCAAACTTCACAATATGTAACAAGGGCACTGCACTCATGTCCATGTTGAAAGGCACTTTTAAAAACACTCAAGAAATGCATCAAATTCCTGTCATACTCCAAAATTCTTCATTAACTGTTTGACCACCATACAAAATGTCCTCAACAATATTTGAAGACACTTCCTCCTACAATTTTACATTCTATATTTTTTCCTATGATATGCAAGTCAATAAATAAAAGTAAAATATTACAAGAATAAAAGATCACAAGGGCACTGCACTCATGTCCATGTTGAAAGGCACTTTTAAAAACACTCAAGAAATGCATCAAATTCCTGTCATACTCCAAAATTCTTCATTAACTGTTTGACCACCATACAAAATGTCCTCAACAATATTTGAAGACACTTCCTCCTACAATTTTACATTCTATATTTTTTCCTATGATATGCAAGTCAATAAATAAAAGTAAAATATTACAAGAATAAAAGATCACAAGGATGATATGTCGAGTTAAAAAGATCGCTAAATTTCCTGGCTAATATTTGTAACATATATATAGTGTGCATGTATAACTTTTTATTAGATTAATCCCCATATAAGCTATAACAAATAGAAATTTTGCAAAACTCAATTCAATGATGTTTAGTTTTCATGTCAGTATGTCCATCTCAGGTCATATGCCATACTTATGGCATGTTCACATCTCTAACCGATTTGCTGCTCTTTTATTAGGCAAAAGTTAAAAGAAAAGGTCAACTAGCTGCCCCTTTTACACCCCATACACAAGCATACATCAGATATCACTTTGACATTTACCACAAAAAAGGTGGAAGAAGCATGCTATTAGTGCATCTGCTAAACCTCTTTAAGGTAAAACAAAGGGTATATGCATTTGAACAAAGGGTATACGCATTTCTGCAAGCGTTCATCTAAAAAGTCTCAAATAGGAATGGCTTGCAAAAGACCTGATTACTTGAACTTGAGCTTTTATTATGAGCGTATCAGCATCAACAAAACCATCTAAAACTTTCGACAACTCCATAAATTTTTTCCACCCCCAATCATGCTCTTTCTTCCAGAAACGATGTAATGTATCTGCAAAAATTTGCAACTGTCTATTAATGTGAGCAGGAATGGAACCAAAAAATTCATTGCAAAAAGAACAGACTCAACAAACCAACCCGAATACTTGGACTTCTTCGGGTCTTTGTTCACCACAGCAATAGTGAATTGAGCAAAATGACCCCAACCTGTTCTTACCAAAATAGGAACAGAACATCATAATCATAGCTAACACATCAATTTCTAGATAGCTTGGGATGAACTATCAACATTACCACACCTGGAAGGAGCTTGTCATGATTAGCCACACAAAGAAACAAAGAGAGATGGTTGCAAACATCACACCCCTGAGGATAAATCAGAATGTACCTGCCGCAACAGTTGGAGCAAACATTTGTCAGTCACTTCCTAATTCATGAACTGGTAATTTCCATTCAACAATAGGTAACGAGCATAAGATGATACAGCAGATGTTGCTGCAAATGCATGCCCCCATGGAACTTCCACTATGATAACAAGAGTAGCAACCTTGATAACCCAAACTCCAAATTAACAATTACTATCACCAACCTCTACATCAATATAACAAGAATATAACTGTTGTGCCAGCTAGTCAGCCATGCATCTGCCTCGAACTAAGCTACAGGTTTATTTGGTTCAGCAATGGACAAGAGGAAGGGAACAGGAATAGGACCCCATTAACCATTCATTTCTAGAGGAAAGTAAGAGAGTTTACTTTTTGTTCAATACGTAGTAAAAACGATTTTGTGATTACCATTCAAGTTTCCCAAGAGTTGGAGAAAGGTGACGTGGGGAGGTATCATGCACCTCAACTATTTTTCCAACCAAACCACGAAAATAACTCTCAATTCTCCTCTTTTACTTATTTTCATCCTATTCCTACTAACATAGCTTATGATTAAAATGATACTACCACTTAATGAAGAACTGCAAAATAAGAAGAGTTAATGTAGCATTATAAGTTAGAAAAGTAAATATAACACAAAATGAAAATAGGTAGTATAGCATTTGATATAAGAGGATTAATTGTTGTTCCTGTTAATACAATTTGTAATAACTTTTTACATAAGTAAATTTTAGTTACCGGGTGACAAACCACTCGAGTAAGTCACGAGTCATTCTCTTAGCCAATTCTCTTTTTTCAAGTCTTTCTCTTAGTCTATTATCAAGTCAATCAGAGTATCACAGGTCTGTCATCCAGTCTAACAGAATCCTGACCTTATCAACACGTCCCATTTCCTCTCTGTGTCAATGATCAACCATCTCAGTCTAGTAGAAACTAAACAATCTTAACAGTCTTCAAAATGTCTCAAAGACTAATAAAAAATTACCAAGAGTACCTTCAAACAAAACGCATCCAAGCAAGCTCAGTTCTTTCATCTCCACTACACTACGTATTGGTGACTCTACATTTTGTATCTCACAAAAGTAATAGAAATCTTTGGATAATTGGTTCTAGTACTTATAATCATATTACCGGTAACCATTCCTAGTTTACTTCCCGGTAACAGTGAGGCAGCTGTTATAGTCTGCTAAATATGCATTGGACATTCTTTATTGCCTACTTGAGGTATGGTACCCGTATTTACAATCTTTACTTCTCTATTATATGTTAGGGTTGGTGGCCAGGTTAACACCCCTCGTCACCTCTGTACCTGAGACAGATGCGCTGCATTACCCAGTGCCTAACCTTGTCTCCCCTACTCCTCTTATGGTTGTGCCATATTAGCACTTAGTCCGTTTGCTCAAATGAACAAACAGCAAAACATCCTTATGAAACATCCTAGAAGTCGGTATTTATTTATAAAAAGCTTGGTGCATAAAAGTAAACGCTTGTATTATATGATCCAATCTGAAGAATGGTGGTGGAAAGCATATTGGCAATTCATGTGGCAATGGAAGTAAGAAGACTCAACATAGCCTAACAAATGGTAATATAAGTTAATATAACATTAGAAATAGGAAGAATATGATACAGGTAGTGCAGGATCGGATCCACCCCTTAGGATGGGGAAGGTATGGCACCCGCTAGGTTGATAAAATTATTATGTACTTATATTGAAATTTTCTTAAACTAGGTTAAATATATCATTCTGCCACCCGCTGTTGCAAACTAAACAAGGATGCCATAGCTGGGAGACCTTTTTGAAAGTTTTTCTTGTGTGTAAGACCCAAGTTCGAATTTATGTTAAACTTTATTTGGCTCCCGTTTTTTGTGCTTTTCATTTCCTTTTGTCACAGTCGTTTCCCTTTTCAGTTATCTCCCAATTTCCTATTTGCCTTTTTATTCTTTTTTATATTTCTCTTTCCTTTATTCTAGTATTAGTTTTTCTGTGACTTCTAGCGAAAACACTCAAAAAGAGGCTCCAAAATTTTAAAATCCCATAAATATAAACATTTCTTTTAGTCTCAAATTTGCGAAGTTTATTCTTTCAAAATCGAAAGACTTGGGTCTCAATGGGAACTTTAGATTATCATCCGTTTTAATTTTTCATAATTTCTTCTATTTATTATATCATAAAATTTGTGCTATTCTATGGATGTTAAGTTCAATTTAAATCTCTTTACTATCAAATTGTGATGAATATTTGTAAATATTGCTTAGAAAAAACATGAAATTTATGATTTTGATTTTACGAAATTTATATATCATCTAATCCTACATTTACTTATGGGGGCGTAGTTTACCAATTGAAAATGTTCTTTTATTTTTCTTGTTTAATTGGTGTAATTTTCTTATTGACGATGTTATTCTACTTGTGCAAATTTTTTTAAATATACAAACAAAACAAAAAAATCCCTTAGTGAAAGTGTTGACTTTACTTGTGATGTTAATATTAAAGGTATGATTCCGGTATAAAATTCTAATTAAGTTTGTCTTGACATTTGAGATGTAATCTTCATATATGCAAATAAAAAACACCTATTAAGTTGACCCGAATAAACTCAAAAGAGACGGAACTGAACCGAATATACATTCCTAACAAACTCTATATTAGTCATTACAAGGTGTATATTAAAGAAAATTATGGCACCCACCATCTTCATATCCTAGATCCGCCTCAGAGCTAGTGTCATTATCATTGTAAATAAACAGATCCATCGTTATTCTAGTTAATATAAAAAGTAACCACTCTTCTATCAATATAAAGATACAGGGTGTCTTTCTTAATCTAATCTCAAGAACTAACTAATAATATAGGGTTGCACATGGAGGCTTACTATTAAGATTCTAAAAGCAGTTTAAAAATGAGCTTATAGATGAGGCTAAATAAGTATGTTAAAGTTAAACAAAATAATTCTTCACAAGAACATCATACCATTTGTAGCCGCCAACATCAAATGCATTACTGCGAAGTTCTCTCTTGTTAATTTGCGAAAACTTATCAATCTTCCATGTATATTTCCCATATAGCTCAGAAGGTTTAGGGCCTACAGACAATAAAAGAGGAAAACTGAATAAAAACCAAAGGTATAACTGAATAAGAATGGCACAGAGTTCCATGCAAAAAGAAAATTCTCGATTATAACTCAAGCATCATATCTCAACCCAAAAGGCAAAAGGCGCATTATTTTGCAATTTCGATCTATCACTTAAACTAAATCTTCTAATTTTTTATATCCTTATTTATTATCAAAATCAGGAAGCTGGGATAGTGCTAAGCAAGTAAGCAGACATTATGAATCTGTGATATCCTTTAAGTTATATTGATTTAGAAGGTAATAGCCACTATGATATCTTCTAAGTAAAAGATACAACTAGACTGCAATAGCTTTTTTCAACAACTATGATATTAGGACCAAAGAGTTGTCTCAATTTCACTAGAGCTGAAAAGTGAAGAACTAGAAAAATTAGGAAAGGGTAAAACAACAGAGTGGAGGCAGAGGATTGTGAAAGAAAGTAGCTTTAAAACCAGAGTATACTGGATCTACCATGGACGAAATCATCCATCAATATATATTGTACAATCCACCTAACATCACTGCTTATATGTAAGATAGCAGAAATAGTGTCCATGATTACAAAATCACATAGACCTTGTATATGAAATACAGTAATGATGTCCACTTTTTGCTTTAGGGACTAGAAAAGGGACAGTAAAAGAAGATTTGAGAATATTAGAAGCTACTTTGACTGATTAACTTGGGGGGGGCGGGGGGAGGGGGGAGGGAAAAGGAAATTTTACAAGGAAACTAAAGACAAGAAAAATACGAAGAACTAATTAAAACACTTTCTAAAAGAGACTCTCAAAGACAATAGTATACTAGCCTCCTACACCAAAGAGAGGAAAGAAATATTCATCCAAAAAGAAGGAATTCCGGCAAACTAGATAACTTTACATAAATATATGCAGATAAGTCCAGCCCTCCATAATCAACAGCGAGACTCCTACACAGCATATCACTCTTAGCATAGAAAGAAAATCCTAAAGAAAGAGAAAACATCGTGTACCAAGTATTCATCATAAAGAAACCACAATACCTTAAAAGACTGAAGGAAACACTAAGAAATAAAACATCACAAAGTCATAGACTATCAAACATAAATTTGAATGAATTGATCAAAAGAATTGGAGACCCAAAGCACCATACCACCATCGTCGTCATCATCACAGTCCCAGTAAGGAGGCGAAGTTGATGGAGTTCCATTTTCTACCTGCTCAGATGACCTCCATTCCGCCAACGCTTCACTGCATTGCTGCTGCCCGCTCGACAATCCCTCATAAGACCTTCCTGTCCCTGCCTCCTCATGTGCACTTGAAGCCGCCATTTCTCACTCCACAACTCCCACCAAGCTCCTGCAACTTCACCTGTCCCAGTACAAGCAGATTACACTTCTTTACAGACTTAATTCAAAAAGTTAAAAGCAATGCAACACAGCCAACTCTGCGTTTAATGTATCTTAAAAATCCTCAGACCCATTGGCAAAGCCAGGAATTTTGATAAGGGTGTTCAAGATTTAGATATATATGTATAAAAAAGTAATATTTTACCAGTATATTGAGTATAATTATCCGACAAGGGGTGTCTAACTGACCAAACTTCAGACCGATGCATAGTACATTGGCGAAATTTTAAACATTCCCAACTGGGAGCTTCCAATAGAAATTGAGAATCAATAATGGGCAAAATGGAGCGAATCAGATTGTGACTATCATAGAACCAACTCAACTAAATTCCTATTAGGCATAATTATTATCTTTTCTAGAAATGAAATCCCATTACTAAATTTCTTCTATTAATGACTGGCATGTCTCGGCCAGCTTGCACGCACACTAATTATCAAAAACCCAATAAAGAAAGAATTCATTAAAAATCCACAATAAGATAACTCCCAATAAACCCTAATTCCACCAGACTTCCAATAACAGTCAAGCAAAATTGAATTGAAGTCTAAAGCCCATCAAAAAATAAAACAGAAAACATATCAACTAATTATCAAAAACCCAGTAAAGAATTTAATTAATTAAACCCAATCGAAATAAGATCGATAAAGTAAGTGTAAAAAAATCAAAACAACCAATTTCAGAAAAGGATCGAAAAAACGAAATTCCCGAAATACCCATGAGAAACCCTAAAAAGGCAAATTAAAACACAAAGCAAGGATTTAAGAGAACAGAAGCGAATATCGGAAAACAGTGACAATTTTAATCAAAAAGAAGATCGATGTAAAAGGAAGCAGTACCTGAAGCAGAGAATTAGAGTTTTTTTTGTCAATGGCGAATGGAAGCTGTAGAGAAAAAAAGATTTTAGAGGTCGAAGAAGAAAGCCGAAAGGAGGAAATTAATATGACTATATATAGTATGCTAGGAAATTTTTACTTTATTTTTATCGTGTGACCGTGTGAGTAATGAGGCACGTGTGAGGCACTATAATTGCCATATTTTTTTAATTTTTATTACATTTGGGATAGAAGGAGAAAGAAGATATTGACAATTAAATTCACACTTATTGAGATTATGTGAATATTGAATTCACACTTATAACGTTGAAAAAATTTTACTGGATTTGAATTTATTATTTAGTAAGAAATAAGACGAGGAATTCTAAGTTAGAGTAGTTGGCTTTGATTCTACCTCGATCGACTTGATTACTTTTAGTTTGACTCGATTACAATTGGAGGTCTTAGAAATTACTCCATCCGGTCCATAATAAGTGTCTCTTTTACTTTTAGCACGCCCATTAAGAAAATACTAAATCCTATACAAAATTACCTAGTATGACTAAACTACCCTTATTAAATATTGGGCACATGATTATAGTGGCATTTATTGCTCTTCTGCACATAAGGGTAAAAGAGTAAAAACAAATTGAATTTTTTCTTGATTACCTAACTAGACACTTATTTTGGACCAAAATCAAAAAGTAAAAGAGACACTTATTATGGATCGGAGGGAGTAATATTAACGTTTTCATAGTAAAGAATCGTAAAGTAGGGGCATAGCTAAGGAGAGGGTATGAATTCACGTGAACCCATGTTTCTCTCCCTAAATCATGTATAACAATATTATATTTTCTTAAAATTATTTAGATATATATGTGCACCTGAGCTCAACGAGTCTTATGGTACAATAATTATTAAGTACATCTTTACAAATAAAATCGAAGTTTTAAATATTACGTCTATCTTGTTGTCTTTTTATTCTTTTTTTATAACTAGGCGAGGCTCAAAACTCATGTCTTTATTGTTGTTGTTTTTTTTTTCTCTCTAGAATTGGATCCACAAGTGGAGGATGAGCATGTGTTGTGTCCCCTCTTACCTCTGTTAAAGTATTTTAGTTTGTTTGATTTATTTCTTTCAAAATCTCCAAGTGTAACATCTTGAAATCTCTATTCTCCTCCTGCCATCTTCGTTAAATTTTGAATAATTAAATTGAATATTTATATTTAAATTAGCAGAAGTGGAGGACGTAGCATATAATCTATGGATTCAGATGATCAAAATATTTTCGATACGAAGTATAAAGACATGTGAAAAATTATTAAAATTATGACATAAAATTAATTTTGAACTTATAACCTCAAAAGTGTGATGAGATTATTATAAGTACCTAAAGGTTAAATCCGTCAAGTATAAATTATAGATCTACCTCTTCATAATAGTACATCAATCTTTTTGAAATCCTAGACATGTATCTAGCTTAAAGGTCTATGTTGCCATAATTGTAATATTCTTCGTGTTAAAAACATTATTTTACCTTCTTAGAACTATGTAGATTTACGACATTCAATCTTATCTTTTCAAGTTGTTATCTCGAAGAAGTGTAGACGTAATAGAATGATTCAAAATTCTATTATATGCAATGTGAATACAAGTCAAGATATTGCTATTATGTCTAAGCTTTTAAGTCAATATCTGAAGACATTTATTTATAATAAAGATTTATTATGAATTGACAAGTTTACACCGGTTGTCAGCCTACCACAATCTCCCTCCTTTACCCAGGCTTAGAACCGGCCATGTGAACAAGATCACATAGGCGGAGATTATTCTTATCCCATTACAAAGTTCGAAAGATTATTCTTTCTTCCTTGGTGGTGAAAGAGGACAAAAAAGGTGTGTGGGAGAAAATTTTCTAAAAGGAAAGAAGATTTCGTCCACCATCCAGAATATATAGAGCACCCCCTTCCTATAAAACATGGTTGGGGACAGACAGAACGATAAATAGCAATAACTACTGGTAGAATTCTCAATCAATAAGGTCAAATATGTGTTTATATAGCTATTATGCAAAAAACATCTTATGTAATTATTCCCAGCTTATTCTTTGAGAACATCCTTTAATAAAAGTAAAGGCATTCTTCCCCTTCCACGCTAAAAGTTTCTCGGAAAATAAGTAAATGATGAAATAAAATGTAAAAGGAAATGAGCCAACATGTTTTTTATATATATAATGTTTCACTTTGTATTATGCATAAAAAGGGAGCCCATTTGAGAAATCAACAATATATTTAAAGTTAAAATTGTCTAAAGAAAAAAGTATGATTGATAATTGATAATTAAATTAAACATTAAGAAAAAATTATATCTTCAAAATGCTAAAAATGAATATTACCAATAACAAATTTTTTTATTAATAAATCAAGGGCACTCTGTATTCATGCATTAATAATTGGGAAATTACTAGCTATGTCCATTTATAGGTAGCTCATTACAAAAATTGGCCAATTGATAAAATATTACTAATATTAGCCAAATTAGCCAATTAGCTATTTGTAGCAAAAAATATCAAATTTTTGCTTTGTTTTGAGTGGCTGTTATTAGAATAGATTGGGCACAACTTAAGGAGCTTGAATCTCAGTTTTGGGATTATTTGGTGAAGTTTTGAGGTGGTTTGAATTGAAAATTCGAAGTAAAAGCTGAACATGAAAAAAATGATATGTGTATCACACTGTGTATCATTTGTGTATCATATATGTATCATATTTGTATCAATTGTGTATCACGTTATATCCATGTATACCTGTGTGTGAGATACATGCGTGATACATGTTTGATACATGTGTAGCAGAAGACTTTTTTGAACTCGATTTAATTATGAATTTTGATACAAGACCACTCCAAATCACCTCCAATCTTCCTCAAATTTTGTATATTGACTTATCTATATATTTTCAATGAATTTCAACTATACCCATTGAAAAAGTTCCTTTTTTGTTTAGATTTTTGGAATATTTGTATAGATTTTTGTATTTCATCACCTTATTTGCTACCCCGTCCATGAAATTTCTTTTCCGTCTTGTAGCTAATGTTGCTAATTATATTTAAAAATATGGAAGGTGATTTTTGCATGTGATTCTTTGAGATAAAGAACCCTATTATTTGGTTTTTCAATTTTTGTTGGCTAGTTTTGGTAAGTCTATGACTAATGGCTAGAGGTTGGTAAGTTGAGATTTATTTGGGACATTTGTGTAAGTTTCCCTTAATAATTCCATAGATAACTAATATGAGTTAGGCCCAAATTATTTCTCTTATTTAATTAGTATAAAATATAGATAAATCATTTTCTATCTCTTTAATGATTAAAAAAACAGAGACTACCAAACCTTCTCGATAGCTTGATCACTCTCACATGTTTCGTGTATGTGTATTCCGAGATAACACTTCATATTTTATAGCTTTTAGAAACATAATTACTGTATGTGAATTATCTCATATCATTTGTAAACTTACAAACTTCAAAATGTGTTATACTCATAACTTTTAGAACACAAACATAACTTCACAAATTATTCAAGATATACATATTCTATACAATACAAGAATCAAATTATTTAGGTTTTGAAAAAACTTTACATGATACTCATAACATTTAAGACTCAAAAATATATTCATAGACATGCATGGCATACTTATGCTTGCCCCGCATATGTATACCATAAAATATCTTTAAGTCGGTTGTTCATTTTATCGTACACATAAATGAGAAAAACTTTAGTAGAAAATATATTTAGAAGTTGGCTTTCACTTACATCAATCATTTAGCTAACAAGATGTAACTAAAGACGCAACAGTGTGCTCACACGATCAATCTTCGTATAAAGTAGGCTACATGTGTTATTTTGAACTTAACAAGATCGTTTCTTCAATTGGAGATTGACCTTAGGCCTACTCAACCCCATGCATGCATATTAGAAAAGAAGCTTGATTCACTTCTCAATTTCACAAAATCTCACGACTCAATTCAAGGCATCTATGATCATTTATCATGTTAATAAAACAAATAGGGATTACCCAAGCCACCCCTAAAATCCCATTCATCCACCTTGATGTGATCCATCGTCCAAACGTATACCAAATGAGTTAATCCAACCAAAATCAACTTACTTGTAATCTATTATCACTGTTATCTGAAGGGACAAGTAAAAAGCTTACCTCAAAGGACTAAAATTCGAACTTCTTAGATTTTGGAGAGCTTGGATGGAATTTGCGTTCTAGAAAAAGTCATATATAATTCACGGGTTAAAGTTCTTATTAAATATCATTAAATAACCTAAATACTCCATATTTGACTTGCATTGATGGTTTGATTGTGATTCATGGGTGAAAACATCCTTTTTAACTTATGTTATAGCATTGGGAGGGAGACGAAATTAAAATGAAATGGGACTAGAGTCCAATTTGGGGTATATTTAAAACCGAGCGCAAAATTAGTGAAGCCTCGTGCTAAGCATCAATATTTATAATCCCTAGCATAACCTATGAGTTTTGAGGCTTCTCGTATTGAGCATCAAATTGTTTTGTGCGTACACAACCCATCAGAAGAGCTTGCTTGCGGTTTGAAGGCGTTTACTACTTAATACTTGGCATAAACATTATCTAGCAGCGCGAGCTTTGTGATAAAAAGTCCAACTGACCAATCAATTTACCTTTAAACAACATATTCATCCTGAAATATTGATAATAGAGAAGTAACATATTTAAAGCATATGTTTAAAAGAATTAAGAGATTTGCACCATCTCAAGTTTGATACTTTCTAAAGGGTGTATTTAATATTCCTTGACTATTTGTACTATTCCACTTTTAAACATGTGATGACTTATGCCTAGAACACTATCGTATTTATTCTCAAATCAAAAAACTTGTTGTTCACGTATGAAGTGTTGCCCTTCTTCGTGTTATGCTTGCAAGACAAGAGCGTGCACCCCTTTGTTTCGGTATTATAGTCTGTTTGACCAAACTTTTCTTGGGCCAATTTTTTTTTTTGGCCAAAAGTGCTTCGTTCCATAGTTAAGGTATTTGTCAAGCTTTAAGAAGGGATAAAAAATGCTTTTGAGTAGAAGAAGAATCAGTTTTTGAGAAGCAACTTCTATCCAAAAGCACTTTTGGTAAAAACACATTAAGAAAAACTTTTGTAAAAGCTTGACCAAACATTTATTGCTGCTCAAAAGTGCTTTTTCAAATTAAATAGCCAAACACAAATTATTTTTCACCAAAAGTAAAACACTTATGAAAAAAATACTTTTCAAAATAAGTTAATTTAATAAGCTTGGCCAAACAGGCTATTAGTCACCCGTTCAACTCCAGGTTATTCTCATTTGGAAGGGTGTGCCTCAATTTAGAGATCATAATTATACTTGCATATTATTATATATGAGTTAGGATTTAAAAATACTAAAATAGTACTTCCTTTGTTTCAATTTAAATGACACATTTTTATTATTAGTCTGTTTAAAAAAGAATGACACATTTTTATATTTAGAAAATAATTTAACTCTAAACATTTATTTTATCTTGATGAGAAGCTTTTATAGCTAAACAAATATTATGACCCTACAAACTTTTTGCCTCTTAAGCTAACCACATATTTTAACATTCTTCTTCATTTTTCTTAAACTTTGTGCGAAGTCAAATTAAATCATTTAAATTGAAACGAAGGGAGTAATAAATAAATATATAGAGTGACAAAGTATCAATTAAATTTGTTAAAACATGCTCCATTTGGTTCACTTTTAATTATTTTTTTTGTCTGATTTCACATATATTAAGGACCCGTTTTGCCATAGGTTTGCCAAAATAAATTTGGGTTTTATTTGGCAAACACATGTTTGATCATAGATTTTGCCTACATTTAATTCCAAATCCAAAACCCGCTCAATATTCGAAAAAATCAAATATTGTGGACTAAAAAAAAAAAAAAAAACCTATAGAAGTTGCCACCAAGATTTCCCCCCTTATATAGATACCTTTTGCTGCCTGCAATTCTAACTTATTTCGATTTTGCAAAATGCTTTGGGTATTCGCTGTTTGCTCTCAAAGAGCTGCCATTGTGGTTTCCTACCTTTAACCTTTTTCAGTTTCAGAGCTCCTACCTTTAATTCTGCAATGAATTTCTGTTGGAAATTCCAGACCTTTCCTCAAACGCGGCCGTTTCATGAGTTGATAAATAATGACGCGTGCCACCACTGAGTTGATAAACAATGACGCGTTTCATTGCACGTGGCAGCTCTATCGTGTCGGTTTCAGGTTCACCATCTCAATATAAGGGTAGAACCGGGAATACAACATTGTATTAGGTTTGTTCTTATCGCCTTCTTCTTCTTTTTTTTGCCTACGACGTGAGCCACAATTTTCTCTAGAATCCTCTCTATAGATCTCAATTTCTAGAAGATACTTATTTTGAAGTCAAATTAACAGCAGATCTGGAGTCATACTATTTGAGGTTTCTTCTTCTTCTTCGTCTTTTTTTTCTCTTAATCTTTGGTGATACTTGGTTACCAATCACATGTGATTGGCCATAGATATCATTTAACAATTTAATGCATTTTTGAAACGCCACTTTGTAATTGGATTTGGATATAACTTAATATAGTTACACGATTTAATATGTTTGTCTTACCAAGTAATTAGTTGACCAACATAAAATTGAGTGTAATTGGATGAAAGCAATTACACTATTCAATTCTCAAGTGGAGTAAAAAATTACCCAGGGTAATTAGATTGTGTAATTATCATATGAATTTTTAATTTTCTTCTTCTCTTATTTTAAATTTCTTAGATACACATATATTTGTCACATTAAGATTTATTTAGGAAAAATGCTTGTTTAATTTATTATAATTAGATTTTATTTTAAAATAAAGAATATCAAACTCCTTTTAATTTATGTGTTTTATTTTTCTTTTAGTATGTTTAAGAAAGAATATTTCTTTTTATTTGGTAATTCCTTAACTGCAACTTGCCCATGGTATATTTAAGATCACAAGATTTAAGGATATTTTGGTACATTATATAGTTTAAGACCATGGGATTTAGAAGCCTTCATACTTTCTTAAATTTCGTGCCCAGTATCGTTGACTTATACTGTATACATGACAATTTGTTATAGCCTATAAGCACATTGAAGGACAAATCTAATCCACAAAAGTCGAAGCAGATTGACTTGGGGAATATTGTAGTTTGTAAGGGATTTCAACTTGGAACCTTGAGGTTGTACTCTTATACTCAACCATTTATCTTTTTGTACACAATTTGATATTTCTTCGTCATTTTTTTCTTTTTTAATCATTTGTTGGTGTTCAGGTAACCACCCATATGTTATTAGTCAAGGATATCATTTAGCCATTTAGTTGTTATGGAATATTTGTTTTGTTGTTCCATTCATTTTATTTTGTCGTGCATCAACCTGCAGATGCACCGGTTCGTAGGTGTGGAACTATGGTGAATGAAGGTGTTAAAAAAAGACGGGGTAGACCTAAAATCACATAATAAGAAATTATCTGAAAAGATCTTTATAATTAATGCAAACTTAGCTAAAAGATAGAGCACAATGGAAGAAAAAATTCATACAGGTTATACCTACTTGTTTAGAATAAGTTTTATACTTGTTAAGAGAACTAATATTATTATTATTATTATTATTTATATACCTAACTTACTTTTTACTTTCGTTTTTATTTTATTTTGGTATGATGATGATAGAAGTTGAGCTTGAAGAATCAAATCAGGATTCATACAGTAGATCCCAACTTGTTTGAGGCTGAGAGGTGGTTGTTCTTGTTCTATTCCTATCCAATTTTTACATGTCACTTTTTTCTTTTTAGTTATGTTTCGAAAAGGACATATTTTAATATTTCAAGATTTTTGAATTTTAAAATTATCATTTCATTCTTAATGAGATGGTCTTACAGGCACAGAGGTATTACAAGTTGTTTAATACCGCAAATTTTAACGGTACATTTGGTGTTTGACAGAAGTTTTTCTTTCTCTAGTTAGGTCATGGTAAGTAATAAGTTCTTTTTAGTTTGACTAGATGCGCTAATGAGAGAATGAGGAATGAGGAGGACCAATACGACAATGGTCGTGAATGATTTATCTCAATTCATCTATATTATGGCGTTAAGATCGGGTTAAGACTGTAGGAGGAGATTCAGAACACTTCCCAGGCGTGATGGAATTACATCAGGGATTTTCACTTTACCCGTTTTTATTTGCCTTGGCGGAGGATGTTCTGACGCGATACATTCAAGGAGAGGTGTCATTGTGAATGTTATTTGCTGATGACATAGTACTGATTGACAAAAATGCGAGGCTGGAGGTTTGGAAATAGAGAGGTGTCGTTGTGCATGTTATTTGCTGATGACATAGTACTGATTGACAAAAATGCGAGGCTGGAGGTTTGGAAATATGACCGCGGAGTCAAAAGGTTTCAAGCTAAGCAGGACTAAAACAGAGTATTTGGAATGCTCTCTCATGAAGCGGACGTGGAAGTGAGGCTGGATTCACAAGTCATTCCGAAGAAAGGGAGTTTTAAGTACTCACGATCTATAATTCAAACTAATGGAGAGATTGACGAGGATATCACATGGAAGCGGAATGGATGAAATGGAGGCTTGCTTTCGGGGTTTTGTGTGATAAGAAGGTGCCACCAAGATTTAAAGGTAAGTTGAACGAAGTAGTAGTTAGATCAACTATGTTGTATGGGACGAAGTATTGGCATGTCAAGAACACCCATGTACATAAGATGAAAGTAGCAGAAATGAGGATGCTTAGATGGATGTGTTGGCATACCAGTATAGATAACATTAAGAATGATGATATTCCGGACAAGGTGAGAGTGGGTCCCGTGGGGGACAAGATGTGAGAAGCAAGACTGAGATGGTACGGGCATGTAAAAAAGAGGTGCAAGATGCTACAATGAGGAGGCGTGAGAGGCTTTAGCAGAGTGTCTAAAGGAGAGGGGATGATGTTAGAATATCCCACATTGGTTTATGGAATGAGTTATTATTTTCTTATATGATTTTGGACAATCTTTACTTTCTTTGCTCACTCTAAGGCCGATTTAAACTAAAGTTCATTTTATTAACAAAAAACAAGGGTATTTTAGGGGGATGAAGTAATAGATTTCTCATTTATTGAGTTGCTACTTTATCTTTACAAAAAGAACAAATTATATTTTTGGGAATTTATTTACTTTAGTGATGCTTAGATTTGCTTGAGAAAATCCACCAATTAGTTATTTCTCATTCCTTTTTTATTTCTAAGTGTTTCTTGGTATCAGTTTCAACATCTAGTCTCTACGTCTCAAAGTCCCTAAGAATGATTTGTATGTAAGCCCTCATTCTTCATGGGACCAAAATCTTTGTATTTCATTCAGAGAGGTATTGGGGGCTCGAAAGGCTCATTTGGTGGCCGCAAAGGAGATTGGTGGTGGAGTACTGAGGTCCAAGGCATATCTGAAGCTTTTAGAGAGCATGAACGAGGAGGAGAAATGGACGAATAGGGAGCGGTATAAGATTGCTAAGAAGGAAGCGAAGATAGCGGTTACAACGGCGAAGACTGCCGCATTTGAACGCTTGTATGAAGTACTTGGAAGCAAAGGAGGGGATAAGAAGTTGTACAAACTAGCCAAGGTGCGAGAAAGGAAGGCCTGTGACCTGGACCAAATGAAGTGCGTCAAGGACGAGGAAGGTAAGAGTTTTGTTCGATGAGGCATTTATTCCATGAAGATATCGGACTTACTTTCATAAACTCTTGAACAAAAAGGGGGATAAGAACATTGAGATAGGTGACTTAGAACACTCTATTAGTCATCAGGACTTTGGGTATTGTAGGCGTATAAGAGTCGAGGAGGTTTAGGGGCTATGCGTAAGATTTGCAGGGGGAGAACGATCGACCCAGACGAGATCCTGGTGGAATTTTTGAAGAGCGTGGGTGGGGCGGGTTTGGAGTGACTCACTGGGTTATATTTAATGTCATTTTTAGGATGAAAAAGATGTCTGAAGAATGGAGATGGAGTACGATGATCCCGTTATATAAGAACAAGAGTGATATCCAAAGTTGCAACAACTATCAGGGCGTCAAGTTACTAAGCCATATTATGAAAGTTTGGGAGAGGGGGTGGAGCTGAGGTTGAGGAGGATTGTGACTAATTCTGAAAACCAGTTCGGATTTATGCCGCCACGTTCGAATATGGAAGCTATTCATCTTGTTAGGGGGTTGATGGAGCAGTATAGGGAGAGGAAGAGGGATTTACATATAGAGTTCATCGACTTAGAAAAGGATTAGGATAAAGTGTCAAGGAAGGTTCTGTGGAGATGTTTGGAGGCTAGAGGTGTTCCTGTTGCATGCATTAGCGCTATTAAGGACATGTATGATGGAGCTAAGACTGGAGTGAGGTAAGTGGAGGGGACTCGGAACACTTCCCAGTTGAGATGGGGTTACACAAGGGTTCAACCCTTGGCCCATTTCTATTCGCCCTAGCGATCGATGCACTGACGCGCCATATTCGAGGGGAGGTGCCGTGGTGCATGTTATTTGCGGATGACGTACTGATTGACGAGGCGCGAGACGGTATTAGCGAGAGGTTAGAGGTTTGGGGGCAGACCTTGGAGTCTAAAGGTTTTAAGTTGAGCAGGACCAAGACAAATACTTGGAGCGCAAGTTCAGTGATGCGACTCAAGTAGTGGACGAAGACGAGAGGCTTGATTCTCAAGTCATCCCTAGGAGAGAGTTTTAAGTACCTTGGGTCAGTTATATAAGGGAATGGAGAGATCAACGAGGATGTTACACCTCATATTGGGGCGAGGTGGATGAAATGGAGGCTCGCTTTTGGTGTTTTGTGTGATAAGAATGTGCCACCAAAACTCAAAAGTAAGTTTTATTGAGCGGTGGTCAGACCGACTATGTTGTATGGGGCGGAGTGTTAGCCAGTCAAGAACTCCTTTGTCCAAAAGATGAATGTGGCTGAAATGAGGATATTGAGATGCATGTGCGGCATACTAGGTTAGATAGATCTAGAAATGAAGTTATTCGGGACAAGGTAGGTGTTGCCCCTGTGGTGGACAAAATGTGGGAGGCCAGACTTAGATGGTTTGGGTATGTGAAGAGGAGAGGCGCAGATGCACCGGTGAGGAGGTGTGAGAGGCTGACCCTGGAGGGACTAATGAGAGGTCTATTGGGGAGACGTGATTAGGTAAAAGATGGCGGTGCTCCAGCTTACTTAGGACATGACCATAGATAGGAAGGTATGAGAGTTGAGAATAAAGATAAAGGGTTAGTGAGCCAAGCTTTGTCCTTGTCTGTAAAATTAGCTTTAGTACATGACTTAGTGTCATTTGTGTATTTCCGTATTCTTTGACTTTTGCTATTACTTGTTGTTGCATTCGTTTCGGCTTTCTGATTGCAGTACCTAGTGTTAGATTTTTATTTTCGCTTTGATTTTTGATTGGTGTGCTAGTTGTTGCCTTTTCTCTTACCTTTCCTAAGCTGAGGGTCTACTGGAAACAACCTCTCTGCCTTCTTGAAGGTAGGTATATGGTCTGCGGATACACTACCCTCCCCATACCCTACTTGTGGGATTACGTTTGTTGTTGTTGTTGTTATACACTTGCTCTCAATTCCTAACGCGTGGGAACCGGAACAGATTAAGCCTTTAAGCATGCATATGAGTGTTTGCTGTCAGCCCTAATCCTTCAGTTTCCGGTTTGGAATAAAGAGTTCTATATTCTTACTGACACAGTCTCACTAACTAGCTTTTTCCTGTGAATATTTTGTAGTTATCCATACTAGTTAGGCACTTTTCTCAAAATGCATTCACATGTATTGCGTCAAAGACTTCTGGAAGTATTAAGGTTAAATTTCTAAAATAATAAGCACACAAAGGTATGACCTAGTGGTCAATGAAGTGGGTCCAAATCCCACTGGAGGCAAAAAATACTAGTGATTTCTTCCCATATGTCCAAGCCTTGGTAGATAGAGTTATCTGGTACCTGTGTTGGTGGGAGGTAGTCTGGTAGAAGGTACCCCATGGAATTAGTTAAGGTGCACGCAAGTTGGTTCGAACACCATTATTATAAAAAGTTCTAATTAATAAAATGTTACACACTTTCGGCGTGCATCGATTTTCAAAAATCAACTCATTATGCGGTATAATTTCTTGGTTGATAATTAAATAAACTAATTAAATTGGTTTATGTTGTCATCTTATGAACATGTGCCTCCTACATGGAAAAGCACATTTGTCCAGGATAGTGTATGATTAGGTTCTTTATTGGTGCAGATATCATGGCGAAGGAGTATCAATTGCCTTTCAAGGTTGGGCAATTCGCGGAAGCGAGGTCTTTCCGGAGTGGATTTCGTAGTGCATGGTTTCGGTGTAAGGTACGAAATGCAAAATTTGGTTCTATTGTGAGCTTGATGCTTGCAAATTTGTGTCAGCTCTAGGTTAAAGGCTCGCTTAAAGCGCGCTTAAACCCTAAAGCTTGGTGAAACCTAGTTTGTGCGCTTCGTTTCACTTAATTGACAATTTATAGCTTGTTTGGCCAAGTTTTTTTTTTTGGGCCAAAAGTGCTTTTGGCCAAAAATTAAGGCGTTTGGACAAGCTTTTAGAAGGAAAAAAAGTGCTTTGAGGAGAAGCAGAAGCAGTTTTTGAGAAGCAGAATAATGTAGCTTCTCTCCAAAAGCACTTTTCTGATAAGCACTTTTGAGAAAAATACACTTAGAAGCAGTTTTAAAAGCTTGGCCAAACACTAATTACTGCTCAAAAGTGTTTTTCAAATTAATTAGCCAAACACAAATCGATTCTCACCAAAAGTACTTTTTTGAAAAGCAATTCTCAAAATAAGCAGATTTTGGAAGCTTGACCAAACATGCTATTAGTGTAAGCATCAAGGTGCTAAACAAGATGCATCTTCATCGATTAATTCTTAATTATAGTTTTTCATTCTTTTCCAAATAATTACCGTTTCTAATTATGGTCACATTTTATTTTTTTTCCTCTCCGCTGAAGCCCATGCTTTAATTATTCTTTGCGCTTAAAGCTTCAACAAACTTTGGCGCTTTATTGCGCTTTCGCTTTTGATTACTCTGCGTAGTTCAATGTATGCATGCTGGATAGGGACATCGTGAATATGTCATTTGTAAAGTACTTATAAAATTAGTCTCTATTTTTTGTAGAACAAGTTCATGGTTACCTTCTTCTAGCTTTTGTGTTATCTTTATCCCCTTTTAGCTACGTTTAATATGAGCCACCTTTTAATTGGTCATATTTTATGTGACATACTTTTCTTTTTAGCTGCACCATAAAACGTCACAGTTCGCTTTTTGGAAACTATTTGATCTTAGTTTCTAGTGCTTCCTTTTGGCCAAAAGTGCTTTTTTTCCAAAGTTAAAAGTGTTTGACCAAGCTTTTAGAAGGAAAAGAAGTTCTGTTGAGTAGAAGCAGAAGCGATTTTTGAGAAGGAGAAAAAAAAGTAGCTTCTCCCCCAAATCACTTTTTACTGAAAAGCACTTTTGAGAAAAACAGACTTAGCAACACTTTTTAAAAGATTGGCCAATCCCTAATTGCCGCTCAAAAGTGCTTTTTAGATTAATTAGCCAAACACAAACTGTTTCTTATCAAAAATATTTTTTTGAAAAGAACTTTTGAGAGAAGGACTTTTCAAAATAAATTGATTTTAGAAGCACAACCAAACCTGCTATAAAATCACTTGTGGCCTGCTTGATATAAATTTTTTCTTTTATAAGGAGATAGAAATTTAAAAAACTTGTAGAACTCTCCCCACCACTCATTTAAAGGAATAATTTTGGCACTTTGCATATTAGCTTACAGGTCAAAAGTCTTCCTTTATTTTTTAAATTTCGTGCTCGGTCGTAACTAAGGGATTTTGTCGGCATGCATCTTCACTACCTTGTTGTGAGGATTTATGTAGTCGACCGTAGCTTGTTTGGGGTTGAATCATATTTGTTGATGCACTTCACCACTTTGTTTGTTAGACTAACGAATGGTGGATTTATTCAGTAGTGACTTTGAGGTCTAATAATAAGATATAATGTGGCAAAATTGGAGCATATTTTTTCTGTACATTTCAGACCGTGCTGGGGTTCTTTAGGGGGGGGCGGGTGGTCTTCATGTATGGACATCATTTTGTGTGGTGCATGTGATTAGGACTTCTGTAGCTGAAGGTCTATCGGAAACAACCTCTCTACCCTCCCAGGGTAGGGGTAAGGTTGCGTACATCCTACCCTCCCCAGACCCCACTTGTGGGAATCCACTGGATTGTTGTTGTTGTTGTTGCATGTGATTAGGAGTAAGACATCTGCATAATCAAAGAAGTTGTAAGTAGACAAATTTCTCATTTGCACAAGGAAACTACATGAGTAAATTATGCAGTTCATTAATTAGGAATGGTGTCCTATAATTCTTTAGACTAATAATCACGTTTATAAGACAATTGCATGATATAAAGGGTACACTCTATCATATTCTCAAGCTTTTGTTTAATCTTTGTGGCTTATTATTTACAACTCTTTAGTTAAGTTCTCTAGGCACTAAAACTTCTGTTACTATCTTCTACATTAAACCTTTGTGGAGTTATCTCTTTATTGAGAGCCACTGTTGCTGTACCTACATTTGGAACCAAAAGCTGTTATTGTTGTTTGTAATCCATGTATTGTCAATTCTCCAGGTCTTACTTGTTGAGTTTACTTATATGTTTTGATGAGAATAAAGTCATTTACTGATAAAGAAGTAGAGTACAATGCATTTACTCTCTTTTTCCTACTGTACCAGATAAAGGAGATTAACCACAAAAGAGGACATTGGAATGCGCGATTGGAATATTTTGATTATCCAGATGAAAGTATGTTTTCTGATGTGTTGATTTCAGCATTAGAATTCATCAGTACTCATTGCTGAGGGCTTTATATCTTGCAGTTTAGATGCTAAAGTCTTCATTAGCGCACTATTTGCTTAATTTGGAGGTTATTTTCTAGGTACCGGACAATGGACATCTAAAAATCATTGAATGAAGAAGATATGATGGATGTGTTATTTCTTATTCATCTGAAAATAAAGTGTTACGCTTGTCCTAGATTTGGATTAATGGTATTGACAGATAAACGCTAAACTGAGAATAGCTACCCAAAATGTTCTGATCTTTTACACTTTTAGAGACTTTCTTGTTTTGTAAATAGAGATATTAGGTGTTTTCAGGTAAGAATGTTGCTACATCTACAAATGCATGTTAATCATTTCAATCCCTGACGTTACAGAACTGACTTGGATGAGGCTGTTCCAAATGCCCCCATATAACATTGGGAAGTCGAAGGAAAAAAAGCAACTAATGCTGCGGCCGCAGTATCCTCCAATCAAGCTTAAAAATGAAGTTTCAGGTGTCAGTTCAATTTCTGATGCTATGATAGTTGTAGATGGTAATTGGCAGGTAGGTGATTTGGTTGATTGGTGGGCTAATGGCTGTTATTGGTCTGGGCAACTGACAAAGTTACTTGGCAACAGTAAAGCTGAGGTAAATTTTGTTATATTCCATATTAACTGGGTGGTTATTGGTAGTAATAAAAGAAGGGTTACTTGATGAGGCCTGAGGGCCAGCTCTTCAATATCAGTGCAGCTTTGATACAATTTGTAATCATACATATATCATATATCTTTTTGGCATAATATCTAGACAACATTCTTTGTTTATAGACAACATTCTTTGTTTAGTCCAAAGTCTTAATGGTCTTGGCAGTAAGATGTTACTGAAACACGAGTCTGATGTTAAACGCAAATATATGATGGCACCATTGACACTCAAGTATACTTAATATTAGGTACCGTTACCCTTATCTTTATTGCTAAAGAAAATGTGGTTTTAGTCTTCATATTTGGTTTTGAAGAAGTTTGGGATAAGGTGGATTCTCTTAAGTTTAATCTAAATCTGGTATTACATTTTTTGGTTTTCTTCTTGTTTTTTTTGTGTTCTTTTTATGCTTTGGACGGGTGAGGTGGATTTTCCCTCGACTCTCAATGATAAGAAGATGGACTTTGAGCCTAATTCAATACTGGAAGCTAGCTCATGAGGTGATGATTGTCCAAGACCATATAGGGAGACCATCCCATCTCTAAAGAGTCGATGTGGGACTCAACACCCTCCGCATGCCCAGGACCGGACATCTTGAGCATGGCCAATATAAGATGGGGCCCAAAATCGCGTAAACAATGAATTGGGATGAACCTAGTTCTGATACCATGATAAGAAAATGGACAGTGGGCCTAACTCAACCCCAAAAGCTAGCTCATGAGGTGCTGATTATGGTTTGAGCTCTGTATTATTGAGTTTTCTTAAGGAAGGTATAATGGATTTTACATTTGTGAGAAGTTTACTCCGGCATATTTTGGTCTAATCCATTTAATGGAGGAAGAAGTGAAACCCGATATGATTACTTAGCGCTTGGCATGGTCTTAGAATGCACTTGTATGATTAAACAACGTAGTACCACTTGGAACTTGGGCCAGTGGAGGCATGTCATATCGCAGGATCCAAAAGCGCATGAGGTCCCGATCTTTATTTTTGCATGACACCTAAAAGCGGCAGGTCATGCTTTGACTTTTGCAGAGGTCTTTGCATATATCCGACTAGAAGACCTGAGCATGATGCATATTCTATAGATCCCCTTCCAGTATCAAGGAGATCTCTTTTTATATTAAAGAGATGTTCATTTCTTTTGTTAATAAAATTTAATATTTTCCACTGCTGCCTCCGGGTAGTAATAGAAATTCGCTTAAGTACCTTCAACATGGTCAAATGGACTCACATGAAGATGTTGTAATTTAGAAGTGACAACTGCATCTTCATCTTTTTTTCTATAACTTTATTTCTGACAACACAACAATTTTCTTGAGATATTGACATTTGGTGTTTGGGTCAACCTAAAAACGTTGTTCTACACTTGTGGGACTACACTGGCTTTGTTGTTGTGTTTGTTACAAACTAAAATGTTGTTCCTCAAGATCTGTTTCTTCAAGTTGATGTGATATATCAAATTCAGCAAGTTTATGCTGAGCTAGAAGACTAGTGCTTAAAATAATCTTCTGCCAACTCTGTCCTGTGTGAAAAAGTATAGCTTCATATGTTTTCCCACAATTGCAATGATAACATTCTGCTCTATGTTTATGTCTTCGCAGATGGCATTGACACCACCTCCTATTGGTGAAGGTGCACTTTATGAAATTCATTTCAAAGATTTACGCCCATCCTTAGATTGGTCCCCAAATTTTGGTTGGACTGTTCTTGCATCCCAGGTTCTTACTTTTACTCTTCTTTTTGCCTATGTTGTTGCTTTATTATGTTTCTCTTTCCCTACAAAGTACAAACTAATATAATGTGGTTTACATAATTTAAAAATTTCTACAAGGGTAAAATTTTCTATTATGGGAACTGCTTAACATCTAAAATATTTGCAGTATCTGTTCTGATTTCACCCCTCTCCTTGAGATGGCGAATTTTCTGCACGCTTTTGAATCGCTACATGGCCTCTAAGTTCTTCCTCATCATCTGTTTCATCCTTCTATCTCCTCTTTCTCCTTCCCTGTCTTCTCTGGCTTTCTTGTTACTTCCGCATATTTTTTATCTTATCTACTAGCCCTCTCCCCACCCCCACCCCCCAACTCAAAAAGAAATATAAAAGAAAAAGAGACAAAAAACACTGTTCTTTGTATTGCATCTTTTTCCTCGAGGAGTTTTCCTTTGAGTAGTATCAATGCATCTTATCCATCAATTCTAGTGTTGGAAATAATGCTGTTTGACTTGTACCCTGGTGTATGCTCCTTTGTGTAATGCTTCTTTCTGCCTAAAATTGTTTCTTGATAATTGCAGTATGGTGATAGTGTCCGTCGATGTGCTCAACTAATTCAACCTGTCAACCAAGGTAACTATAATGTAAAACTAACTCCTTCCTTTGGTTGTTGACAAAACTTTGTTTTGTGTCATGGACGTGAAAACAATTTGTTCAATATATCAGGCTTATAGTGTATGTGCATGAACAGGTTTCGTTAAGGATGGTAATATGCTTGTTTATGTGGAGAAGCTGTTTGGTTCATAAAACGCTTAGGAAATTTGGGATATAACTCCTCTATGCATTATTTGGTAGCTTCAATTGCTGTGGCAGATTTACCCTGAAGTGTTCGATTTGTCTTACATTTGCCCTCCATTTACCTTTCGGTCCATTGATTTTGTCCCATAATTTGAAGCATGGTCTTGAGCAATTGAATAGAACAACCCTGAACAATTAAAAAAGTCCAAATATGTCCTATGTGGCATTCACTGTGTAAGCCAAACCAGACCAATTTTTCCACGTTGGAAAACGGTCATACAGAGGGGCATATTTGAAACGAGAGATAATGTTGGGGGCTTTCATGGACCGAAAGGCTAATGGAGGGAAAATCTAAGACAAATCACAACCGTTATGGGTAAAGAAGTGCCTTGTTTTCCGGTGAATCAAGGGAATGAAATGCTAAAGGAACTTTATGAATTTCTTTTAGCCCCCTAGTGGTGTAAACATTTGTGAAGCTATTGTAGAACTTTCTTGATGTCCTCTGTTTACCGCGAAATGATTTTTTTTATAAGGCATTAGTGACCACTCCATCCATCCCATTTTAGGTGATGTTGCTTGTCTAGGCACGGAGTTTAAGAAAGAAAGACTTAAATTTGTGGTAAAAAAAACAAGCCCATAGATATTTGTATGGCTATAAATTATTTTATTAAGGGTAAGAAAAGGTTGATGATTTATTGCAATTTTTTTTTATCATGGTTTCCATTTGTCATTTTGGGCTGATTACTGTTACTTCTTTTGCCATTAGGTTGTATAATGGCGCTTAGAGTTTTGTTTCAACTAATTCGTATGTGTCTCTGTATTCTTTGTAAAACGAGAATTAGTTTGCGATAAAGAAAATCCTGCATCTTAGATTTTGAAATGCTCGTCATGATCATTGCAGCCCTTGGTCGCTTTCCAGCTTTGGAAATACATTCCATGAGTGAAGGGAGAAAGGACAGCCAAGCAAAAGCTGGGTCTTCATCAAATCTTTCTTCACCTACTAATTTATATGCAAACTCGCTCCCAGGCTCAGAGGAAACGAAGGATTTTAAAACCACAGGGTTAGTAGAACAATCCTCGATCATTGACCTTCCAAAGGAAGCTGCGAACACATCAAAGAAAGTCAGTCGGTCAGATATTAATTCCGGTTCTCAGTTGGGAGATAAATTAGCAAAGGAAGCCAGTTGGTCAGATAATGGTTCTACTTCCTGTATTGCAATTGATCAAGCAAAAACCGCTGAGACAACTGAAAACTTTTACCTTTCCAGTTGTCCTTTGAAGAAGTTTAGAACCAGTGATGGCGTTCGGTTACATTCAATGGGTTCTGACTCAACGGAGGCAGTGATTTTGGATTTGGAGGAACTTGCAAACAAAATTAAATGGCTGAAAGGACTGCTTGAGTTCGGAAAACCCGTGTCTAATGCTAACAGGCCTTCATGGAAGTTCGTGGAACATCATGCATCTTCCAGAAATAAATAATGGTTTCAGAATATGGATGTGTCATCCTATGGCTCTCGAGAAATAAAGTGTAAAGCTCTATGCAGCCTTTGGATCATCTATTGCAGGTTTTATACACGTTCCATAGTTCAAGAAGCCGTGCTGATTTGAAATTTGACTCGTCCCAAAATAAGGTTTCAAGTCAATTAAAATCTGCATATTAAATGAATTTCTTTACGAATATAGAGTTTGGACCAAAATGACTGGATTCGGGCGAACCTGTACCATTAATGCTAGCTCCGCCACTGCATGCAGAGACTAGTGCCAAGCCAGTATAAGCTCAACTTGATATTCTGGCTTCCTCAGATATGATTTAAAGATGTACCGAAGAGCACTTGGCTATCTTCTTTGCTTGAAATTTTGTAGCATCGACGAGTCGATGATATGCACCAGTGAGTAATTTGAGTAATTTCTGCTGCCTTAATAAGTATACTAGTTCAGTTGGATCACAGGTATTTTGTGGCCAATTGTTTGCTGCTCTGCCTTTGTATTTGTAGCCAGCTGCTTTCTGCAACAGTTTTTTTCACTAATGCTTTGTTCCAGTGAAGAACAAGCTTGTATAGTTGTATATTAGACTCTCAGTTGAAGGCCTGAGGTCAAAGGCTGTTTTCCAATTTTGACATTTTTCTATTTGTCTGTAAGAATCATTTGGGTAATTCTACTTCTGTAACTTGATATTGCACTAAACCTCAGTTCTCTTTTCAATAAAAGCATTTTCACTTGTATTTGCATCTGATCATACTTGTATTATCTGTTCTGACGAACTAAAACACATGTTCTGATGCGAGTGTTCGCAACAAATTTGTGCAGAAAAATAAAACTGCAATCATAAATAATTATAAAGAAAAAATGATTTTATTGATAAACATTGCGGGTTACAACTTTGTTTATCCCTTGATTCTTATTCCGATTTATTCTACGTGATTCGAGGGCCTTAGCGGCATATTTCTCGAACGTAGGACTTTAAGCAAGACGTATTTGACATGTCTTTGATCTCTTAAAGAATATTCCAAGAGTTCCATGGAATTTCGGAGATCTCATATTTGATCTCTTTGTGCATTCCGAGAGTTTATGGAATTGCTTAGATCCCATTGAAGGACTTATGTATCCTTATTTATAGGCATGAATTAAGATTGGGTGAAGTAGCCATCAAGTAACCTAATAGACTCCTAATATTTCAAGAGTTGTCTTGAATTTAGGATTTATCTTGATCTGTTAAAATTTCAGTGTCTACAAATGTCCCATACTTCAAGGTTTGTCGAGATGTAGGCTTGCTGAAACTTGAAGACGAGACTTGAAGTATCCGACCATCGCAACAGATAATCTTGAAACTTGAAGTTTTTGATTTGCAGGAGGAAGAGATGAAGAGCAGAATTTGTCCCACTGGGCGTGCCAATTTGTTTGCAACAAATTTGTGCAGAAAAATAAAACTGCAATCACAAACAATTATAAAGAAAAATTTTATTGATAAACATTGCGGGTTACAACTCTGTTTATCCCTTGATTCTTCCTCTGATTTATTCTACGTGATTCGAGGACCTTCGCGGCGTATTTCTCGAACGTAGGACTTTAAGCAAGACATATTTGACATGTCTATGATCTCTTAAAGAATATTCCAAGAGTTTCACGAAATTTCGGAGATCTCATATTTGATCTCTTTGTGCATATTCCGAGAGTTTATGGAATTGCTAAGATCCCATTGAATGACTTATGTAGCCTTATTTATAGGCATGAATTAAGGTTGGGTGGAGTAGCCACCAAGTAACCCTAATAAACTCCTAATATTTCAAGAGTTGTCTTGAATTTAGGATTTATCTTGATCTGTTAAAATTTCAGTGTCTACAAATGCCTCATATTTCAAGGTTTGTCGAGGTGTATGCTTGCTGAAACTTGAAGACGAGACTTGAAGTACCCGACCATCGCAACAGATAATCTTGAAACTTGAAGTTTTTGATTTGGAGGAGGAANACTTGAAGTTTTTGATTTGGAGGAGGAAGAGATGAAGGGCAGAACTGGTTCCACTGGGCGTGCCAATTTGTTTGCAACAAATTTGTGCAGAAAAATAAAACTGCAATCACAAACACTTATAAAGAAAAAAGGATTTTATTGATAAACATTGCGGGTTACAACTCTGTTTATCCCTTGATTCTTCCTCCGATTTATTCTACGTGATTCGAGGGCCTTAGTGGCGTATTTCTCGAACGTAGGACTTTAAACAAGACATATTTGACATGTCTTTGATCCCTTAAAGAATATTTCAAGAGTTTCATGGAATTTCGGAGATCTCATATTTGATCTCTTTGTGCATATTCTGAGAGTTTATGAAATTGCTGAGATCCAATTGAAGGACTTATGTAGCCTTATTTATAGGCATGAATTTGGGTTGGGTGGAGTAGCCACCAAGTAACCCTAATAGACTCCTAATATTTCACGAGTTGTCTTGAATTTAGGATTTATCTTGATCTATTAAAATTTCAGTATCTACAGTGAGATCTAAATGTATTTCATCATAACACCAGTATACGTAGTACTGCCGAGGGTCTATCGGAAATAACCTCTCTACCCCATCGGGGTTAGAGGTAAGGTCTCCATACACACTACCCTCCTTAGACCCTACTTGTGAGATTATACTGGATTGTTGTTGTTGTTGTTGTTGTTGTTGTTGTTGTTGTTGTTGTTGTTGTTTTTACCAGTATACAAAGTATGCTAGGTTTATTGCAAGAGAGATGGGTTTTTTCTGCTGCATTAAATGTCATAGCATATTTAAGACTATATATTTTAATCTTATTTAATTTGTATTCAGACCAACATCGTACGTAAGTTACTTAATTAGAAAAGAAAATAAAGAAGAAAAAAGAACATTGTTCTACTTGGCTAGAACGTACTTACTCCCTCCGGTCCACAATAACTGTTTTTTTGTGGTCCAAAATAAGTAATTTTTTTAGATTTTAAGAATGAATTAATTATTATTTTCCTGCATTGCCCTTGGAGTAAATAGTGTTGGAATATGTGTTAGGAGTGTTTATATGAAAAGATAGTAAAAGTTAATATTATTAATTTTATTATTAATTAATATTAAAAAGTAAATTTCATAATTTGTGAGAAAACAGTTAAAAAATCACCAAAGAAAAGAAAGCAGTTAATTAGGAGGCTGCTTCAGCACATCAATTACACTTGTACGACTTTGCTCCTAGAAATGTGTGATGGAGAAAGTTGGCATATCACATAGAGAACTGGGAACTCAGTTTAATAAAATTTGGAGGTACGGCAACATATCTTTAGTCGAATATGAATATGACTAGTTAATTTAATACTCCATCACGGTCAGAGGTGAAATTAAGATTTAAAAATCGGGGGTGTACTTTTGGATTCAATCAAAATTTACTTTGTATATAGGGTACTCACTATTAATATATCGTTATTTTCTAAAGACATATACATGTATACATAAAAATTTTACCGAACTTTACGGGTGCCGCTAACCCCTCTCGGTATAACATACGTTCGCCTCTTATTATGGTATAGAAGAGGAATATCATGACCTATATATTTCACTTGTTGAGTCTTTCTACATTCATGGTGAAATGGTTAAAGCACGTTTCTTAGTAGAGGAGTAAAATCGCAGTTCGTTTTCCTAGAGATCGTCGTGAGTTCTTTGTCAAATTGGATGGAGTGGAGAAGATTAGAACTATTTTCATCTTAAAGTTACCACCGTCATAAGGTATTATTCCTGATAAAAGAATTTTACGAAAGCTAGCACCTTTGGTGCGTGATTGATACGTAATGCGCTTAGTTAGGTTTGTCGGCAATCGTATGTAACACGCTTGAATATTCTAATTTTGGAAAGCATGTGACTCTAAGTGTTATGTTGAATGTTTAATCGAGATTACACTAAGATATTTCTGCAAGTGAAATATCGGTAGAGGCGGATTTAACATGCAAGTAATATATGGATTCACATGAAGTCAGTAATTGTTGCTCAAAATATAATATACATATTAAGAAATTCATTACATATATATAAATATTTAATTGTAAAATAGTTATTATCATATATTAATTTAAACTCGCCGTAAAAACTCATCACTGATGAGCTAAGAAATGATTAATAATTCAAACTAATTTGTCACTTTCATTTAGCACACTCGAAAGGGAACTTTTCCTAGAGCGTCACTTTCTTTATTAGTGGAAGGTACTTTTTCTCTCTAAAAAACGACGAATATTTGTTAGGTGTTGTCCTAATTTTCTTATCATATTTGGTTTTCTTATCTGTTGAAGGTTTGGACTTTCATAAATTGAGGATCCTTTCTTCTCATTCATTAGCATCCACAATGTAGCCATATGGGGTTTGAGAGTCGTGTTTAGGAGGGAGAACTTAACGGGACACGTGTTAGAGTATTCGAAAAGTACGTTCTCCTTTGATGAACTTTAACGTAATATAAATCTAAATTAATCGAATCACTACCGATACATATGGTTATTTTAAAAATGTTAAAGTAATTTAGTTGGCAGCTAATAGTATTTAATTATTTTAAAACTCGTAATAAAACATTCATCTTCATCCAAATCTCCATAATTGTCCTTAATTATTTCCAAACCACTGCATGTTCCCACGTGACTGTCTAGAAAAAATTGCATATTCCATTTATTCCTTTTTCAATTAATAACCAATCATGACAGGCAATTCATATAATATTATTTGAAGTGCAGAGCGTTTATATCTATGAATCCTAATGTCGGTTAGACTTATCTGAGGTGAACAATGTCATACGATATTAAGAATATTTTCGAGCGAGCTTAACCCAACAATTAATATTAGAGTCGATGGTTCATGGTTCAACGTAGCGAGTATAAAGTTGTTGAATGATGACGACGGGCTCGGCAAAGAAAAGATTAGCTCTGAGCTTCGGTGGCCATAAATGCTCAGTCATGTAGCTGACAAACAATGAATTTCGAAAGTTAACTATAGATCGTCGTCATATGCCACGTGAAACTTAGTTCGAGGGACTTGTTGATGGTCTGATCCAATTGTTGCAGGGGCTTGTTGATAGGGCATGTGAAGCTTTAGTTCGAGAAAGAAATTATTTTTTATTCGAATAAAGTCTAACATTGATAGCAAAAAAGATTAGGAAGCACTTTCTATATAAAATATTATTTTTAGATATTGTGAAACTTTTTGAAAGAAATCGTCCAAACTTATCTAAAATAGACGATATTATACAATTTTATAAGTATTTTTAGGCTAGCTTATAAAACATGTCCTTATCAACAAAGACAAGAAAAAGGATAATGATTTGTAACATCATGAGGACATATCATAATTATTGCATTACGTTTCGAGTGTCGTTCTTCTATCTCATTGCTAGGATGTCTGTCTATAAGTGGAGGGTAAGACAAGGACAGTTTTATTATTTTTCAACTAGAGTATAGGCTCGTCCGAACTCAATAATTTTAACTTGAATTTATACATGTGTTAAGAGATTTATCAAATAAATATAAATATACTCATCGATTTCAAATCCAGTCAAATGAGTCGTAGTAAAATCTTGAACCCGAACGCATAAATAAGTATATAATATACTCATCGATTTCATTCCAATCAAATGAGTGATAGTAAAATCTTGAACCCGAATCCATAAAATTGAAATTCCGAATTCGCCATTAAGTCTATATAAGAAAAAGAAAAGCTATACTACAGTCAGACCTCTCTATAACAACATCCTTATATAGCAGCCA